AAATAGTCCATAGTTTAGAATACCCAATTTCTATAATTTTAATGAGTTTCTCTGTTTTGGTATCATGTGCTTTACTTTAAAAGAGACCTCATAGAAAAATAACAGATTAAATCTTCTCAATTTAATGAAGAAAGAATGAAAAGATAAAAACCCAGGGTTACTAATAAACTAAAACAAGTGTGCTTTGGCACATATAAATGAAATATATTTTAAAAGCTTTCCAGGGTCTACCTGCAAACAGATGGTACCAAGATATTTAAAAGATGGCATACTCTCTTTTTGCAGATTTACTTTTTCTAATGGAAATCATGGACAAAATGATGACATAGTTTTGGATTTGAAATGCTATTCCTCATTTTATATAATGACTCAGCTTTTAAATAGTAAATTATGGATACTAAATGGCTCCTGCCTAATCTATCCGTAAAATATGTAACGTTCATGAATTTGAATCATCATACCAAAAGGAAGGAATATAAACTCAATTTGTACAACTGGAAGAAAGTATATTTTGTGATGCCACACTTAACAGTAATATATTTTAACAGTTATGTAGAGGTTGGACTTCTGTAAAACTTATTTGAAAGTCTAGTTACAGACAACATAAGAACATGAAAATTAATATGGATTTAGAGCTTATGAAGGATGGTGAATATGTGAAATTGAGAAAATTAAGAGAAGACAGACTTGTCCTCTAAATATATTTGGAGAAATATATATTTAAAGTAGCATAATGTTAATTCAGCAAATGAAGGCTAGCTATCTACTAGCCCAAAATACAGATGTAATAACTTTAAAAATACTATGTATACATGTACATACAGATGGTCCTTTTCTTGTGATGATGCAACTTACACATTTTGCCTTTCAGATAATGGGAAAGCAATACATATTAAGTATAAAACATACATTGAATTTTTCATTTTAATCTTTTCTTAGGATAGAAACATGTAACCTACATTGGAGCTAAGGCTAATAGTTAAGCACACAAGCAGGAGAGCAAACAACCAGTACCTTAAAATGTACTGTGTGGTCAACACTTTTTGGATGCAGGTACTTGATAAATTACATGGGATATTCAGCACACTATAAAATAAGTGACTTGTTAGATTATTTGCCAAACTGCAGACTAAAAATGTTTTCTGGGTATGTTTAAGGTACACTAGGATAAGCTATGATGTTTAGTAGGCTAGATGTCGTAAATCCATTTTTTTTTTCTTTTTTTTTTTTTTTTGTACCGGGGATTGAACTCAGGTACTTGTGCTTTCAAGGCAGGAGGTGGAACAACTGAACTAAATCCCCAGCCCATAAATCCATTTTTGACTCATGGTATTTTCAATTTACTGTGGGTTGATCAGTATATAATTCCATCATATGTCAAAGAGTCCTTTACCTGTATATCCTCACACATTATATGTATATACGGATGCATGTATAAATGCACATGAATGGATATTTGTAATGATACATATATACAGATTTCTGTTTATATGACTTAATACTATTTAAAATGCATTTTTCTTTGAAAATCGAAAAGACACTAGTATTGCACAGGTTATAATTGTGTTCATTTTTACAAAAATCATATATCAAGGAAATTTATCTTTGTGGCTTCCTTTGACATTTACTGTAATTAAAAGCTAGGAAAGCAATCATAGCAGGAATTATTCACTTTTGACTTGAGATATTCAGTTTCATCATAGATTCAAGTTGTCCACCTGACCAGGGAAAGCACAGGTCTTTGAATGTAAATTCCATATCTGGCATTCACTAGTATGACCTTGGAAAGCTACTCAACTTTTCTAAATTTAACTCATATGTTTAAGAAAACAAAACAATCAAATAAACAATCTAACTGATATGATGTTGTAAAGGTTAAGAAAAAATACAGGTAGACAGTAGTTAATACTAGTTTCCTTTCTTCTGTCCTTGATGATAATCTCCTGCTTGTGCTTTTGCAATTACTTTTCCTTGTTTTTCAATTATTTTGTCTTCAAGAGTATTTATTCATTGGAGGATAGTTTAAAAGCAAGACATAAAGGTATTAAATATTATAAATTCGTAAGTATGCTGGTGGACTTTTACAAATTAGTTCTCAAGAATGTATGTCCCTAGAATGTTCATAGACTATTTCATTTTAACTTATATTTATACTCTTACTCCATGTCCTTCTCAAAGTCACTGATAACCAAATCTTCTATAGATATCAAATATTATTTTATTATCATACCTGCTCTAGAGAAATGATCTACTATTATTAAAAGATGAGTAGAAAATTAAACATTATTTCTACTATGGTAATTTTAAAGCAGTTTGAAATTCCAGGCCACCATAGAATTTATTCAAATTCTTTTAAATCTATCATTTTTATCACATTTCTAAAAGAACATATGGAATTTTAAAAAATCACAAGACTTGAATTTCTACATTATAAAAATTAATAAGGAGAAATGATTATAAATTAATAACAATAAAGCCACTGTTTAATTAACTTGCAATCATTTATTCTAGAAATATTTCAGGTTGCAATTCAGAGTTCTATCTGTACATTTTCTGAAGTCTGAAAAGCCCTCTAAATTAACATGCATTTCTCTTCAAGGTGGCTTATTCTTTAAACTCTAGAGTAAATAAAAGTATTCTGTATCTACTTAATAGCATAAAAGTCACTTATGACAAACCATAAAATAGTATAACAACATCATAATAAATGAGGAAAAACTGAAAGAATTTTGTCTAAAACCAGGAATAAGACAAGGGTGTTCACTCTCACCACTCCCAGTTAATATAGAACTATAAACTTTAGCCAGAGAAATTGAGCAAGAGAAAGAAACAAAAGGTATATGTATAGAATGGAAGAAATTAAAATATCCTTGTTTATAGATGACATGATTCTTTAAATAGAAGACCCAAGAAACTCCCAAAAGACCAAGATCTAATAAACAAATTCAGCAAAGTGATAGGATACAAAATCAATACCAAAAAAATCAGTGATGCTCCTGCATACCAAAAATGAATCCACCAGAAAAAGATATCTGAACAATCTCATTGACAGTAGGTTGAAAAAATTAAAAACCCAGAATTAGTCTAATCCAGGTAGTGAAAGATCTCTGTAATAAAAACTATGGTATTATTAAACTCTGAAAAAGACATTGGAGAGGATATCAAAAAATGAAATGACATCACCTATTTTTGGATGGCAGAAAAATATTGGTCAAAATGATCATATTATCAAAAATAATACATAGATTTTAATGTAATCTCAATGAAAATATTAAGAGCACTCTTCATGAAACTAGAGAACACAATCTTAAAACTTATATAGAACTAGAAAATACTCAGAAGACTCAAACCAATACTTTGCAATAAAAGCAAAGCAAGATGTACCACAATTCAATACTTCCAATTATATTATAAGGCTATAATGATAAAAACAGTATGATACTGACATAAAAATAGACGTTGATCAACTAAACCCCAGGCACATTCAGTATATGCTCTTCCACTAAGTGGTCAAAGATATACATTGAGAAAGATAGCCTCTTTTACAAATAATGCTGAGAAAAGTTGTTATCCATTTGCAGAGAAGAAAGAGAAAACCATATTTCTCACTGTGTACTGAAATCAAATAAAATGGATAAAAATCCTAGATATAAGAACAGAAACACTGAATCTATTAGAAGATAAAGTTGGTGAAATTTGTGAAGATATAGGCATATGCAATGACATTCTGAACAGAACCGCAATTCTAGAAGAAATAACACCAACAATCAGCATATGGACTTATACAATATTAAAAGGCATCTTGATGACAAAGCAAAAAGCCAACAAAGTGGAGTCAACTTACAGAATGGGAAAAATTTCTTTGTCAGCTACTGCTCAGAGGACTAATATCTAGAATAAGTAAAGAACTAAAAAAGACACCTTCCAAAAATAAAAGACCAAATCAAATAGTGGGCAATTTAAATGAATAGATTTCCCTCAAGAGAAAAAGTAAAAGCCAGGGATGTAGCTCAGTGGTGCTGTCCCTGCCTGCCAAGCACAAAGTCCTGAGGGCAATATACAGTATGAGAGGAGAGAAAGAGAGAGAGAGAGAGAGAAAATCAAAATACGCAATAGGTTTATGCAACAAAGTTCAACTTCTTCGATCAGGAAGAATGACTATCATGAAGAACTCAAAAATCAATAAATACTTGGGAATTTCTGGGGGGAAATGAACCCTTCTATATTGGCAGGAATATAACCTAGTACAATTACCATGGAAATCAATATAGAGATTACTCAAAAATCTAAAAGTAGAAATTTCATTTGACTCAGTTATACATCTTCTGGGTATTTTTCTGGAAAGATATCATATGATAGTGACATATCTATCCCATGACTATGCATAAGCATTAATAACTAAACCTTGGAAACAGGGTATATGTCTCTCAAGAGATTAATGGATAGAACAAAAAGGGTATGCATATACAAAATACAATACTAATTTAGTCATAAATAAGGATAAATTTGAGTCTTTATAGAAAAACGAAAATACCTTGAGTGCAATGCTTAGTAAAATAAATCAGACATGCAAGTTTAAATATCACATAGTTTCTCTTATATGAGAAATCCAAATTATAAATAATATGAAAGGCAAAATAGAAGAAAGATGATAGGAAATGGAGATAGATATTTTGGACATGGGAAGAAGACCTAGGGATGGGGAAAGTGGGCAGGAAGGAAAGAGAAAGGGAAGTAAAAACTCAAGATGCCATATGGATACATACCAATATACTGTGGTGAATACATTCATTTTGCATCACAAACATATGCTAATAAAAATGTGTCTAGTGAAATCTGGTAATATTTTCTGCTAATTTAATTGCATGTACTTTTATACAAACTCAAGTTGAGTTGGCCCTAACCTGAATTTATCTAAAAGATGTGGTATGAGCAAGGGAGCAGCTGCTCTGATTCTAGCTCTTCCACCTGTGATACTGTAATTGCTGGCCACTACTCACAGCTGACATGATGAGCTCTCCTCCCAGGTTCTGGATCTCAGCTTTAACTTGACTGCAGATTTTCAGTTGGTGGGAGTAGAATTTGATCTGTTCCAGATAAGCCAGTAAATCCTGTTTGCACGATGGGTCTGGACACTAAATATGCATCAAAGATAGAAATGGAAAGAGCAAAATAAATAAGAGGCAGAACAATGTGTGTAAAAATTGTTATTGCAGATACCAGATGAGTTTTCATTAAGCTCAGTTTCTCATGTCTAGCCCATGTAGATTCTGATACGCCTCCACCTCTAGAATAGCTTATTCAATTTTCACCCTTTATTACTTTAGCTTAGATAAAATAAATGTTAAAGGAATTTTCCAAAATGTAAAGGTACAAAAAGCAACTGCCTTCAATTTATGGTAAGCATAGAAGCTTTCAGATTAACCTTTTAGGAAAACCTAAAGAAATACTTAAACTGCAATTCTTCCCTTCACCTATACTGACTATTAGACTACTCCTTGAAGTCCATAGTTCTGCCCTATCTATCTTGTATTATATATATGGAAAAAATCATCTACAACAAAACACATTATGCTTTATTACTTTTACCATTAAATGGCCGGGGATTTAGCTCAGTGGTTCTATGCCTGCCTTGCAAGTGAGTTCGATGCCCAATACCAAACCCCCCCCCCAAAACCAGGACCTACTTTTCCCATTAAATGTTGTTGAGTATTTACAGACAAAGAAAACCATGATCTACCAGAAGATCAGAAACAGCACATATGTTTTAGGCTTGCATTAAATTTTGTTACCAAAAGAAACAACCGATAGATAACTGTATTATCTTCTGTAAGGATTACCTGGAAAACGCTATAGTTTTGAGCTTTATTATAACATGGTAAACATCTTGGGTTAAGGTTTAGTCTTTCCTTCTCCTATGTCACAATTGCAGATTTTTAAAAATCTCCTCTAATTCCACTTTTGATAAATTTTCATAAGAACATGGAAATCTAGATATATTTAATATGCAAAGATATTCATTGTTTAAGTATTTATAATGGCAAAATGTAGTAATAACCTAAATATCCTAAGGTAATGGAAAGAATTTGAAGATTTATCTGTATCATGTGGCAATATAGAATCTCAAGAAAATAAGATCTTCAAAGGATAGTAGGAACATGTTTTTGGAACTAAAAAAATAAGTGTTTAAAATTTAATATACTACACAAAATATGCATTTAAAACATGAT